AAGTCCCTTGTGCTCTGTGCAGCGATGAGGACTCTAGTAACAAACCAGCACACTGGGGCCTGTGATGGATACAGGTGCTATGTGGACTGATGCCTGAGCCAATCTGACCCCACAAAGGTTCCACCCCACAGCATCCATGATTCTCCTGCACACAGGAGATGGGAGGGCCTGGTCTGGGACCAAAGAGATAGGGGGGTGGGCTGATCCATCCATGTCCCTGAAAATTACAGCATGTAGCAGAAACGTCTCCTGTCACTCACCTGAGCAATTCACAGCAGCATCTTCCTTATGACCACAGTAGCTCTCACCCCAGGGCGTGGCAGGACAGTCCCAGAGAGATGACTCTGTCCCTCTGCAGTTCACCTTCTCCACCCAGATGGGACCAGTCCCCTCACCGAATGCAGCCTCGCCCGGGGCAGATATAGCAGTTCCACAGCCCAGTAGTTTACACACAACGTTAGCATCCGCCATGTCCCAGGAGTCATCACAAACTGTTCCCCAGGAGCCACGGTACCAAACCTCCACTCTCCCCGAGCATCTGTTCTGTCCTCCCACGACACGTAACTTCTCCTGGTCTGGAAATGCAGAAACCTCACATGTTACTGAGACAGCTGGGAAAGTCCTTAGGGACCAAGAGGGAGGAAGTGAGAAGCAGAGATACCTGTGCAGCTTGGAGAGTTTGGGCACTCGGTAAACAGGGTCTGAGTTGGTTTTGCTTTTTTTCCTATGGAGAGAAAAAGCTGAGGTGAATGCACTGGGTTGTGTGTGAGATGTGGGAGTAGAATTTATCTGTATTTTAAACCCCTAATTTCAGCACTGTATGAACTGAAATGTGAACTCTGGGTCATTTAATATCTAATTAATTTGCTATTCAGCTGTTACTCAGACACACAGGCTGACATACACATAGACTTGTGCAGGATTCCAGTTCTGACCCAAACTGCACAGCCTGGGCCCATCTCTGATTGTTCGTCCCAAAAGGATTAATAATCACAGAGCTGCCTAATGACGGTCTCTAGGGAGAGGCTTTTCTAGGATCTCACACTACCTTATCACACTGTATAACACTGGTCTCTTTTATAATTAATTGATTAATTTCCATGTTTGTTGTTAATCAGACAAATGCTTATTGGTATAAAACATCATGAAAATATGTTTGTATCTTGTGTTGAGAATTTACATCTGCCTACACTGAGATGTGAACAAAAACAACTTCTATCCTAACCCTTCAATTAATTGAGCACATCACATATACGTGTGTCTGCATTCGCGCATGCAGGTAGTTTCAGAATTACCAGTGCAAGAAATATGAGTCTCTTCTGCTCGGTTATCACATGACTTTGGATTCCAGGGCTCTGACGGGCACTGCCAGAGGGAGCGGTGCTGCTCACTGCATGCAACATGGTCCAGCCACGTGGGACCAGAACCTGCTCCATATTCAAAGTCTCTTACAATCTGCCCTCCATTCCCACAGTTCAGCTGTTTGCAGACAATTGCTGGGGTGACTCCAGACATCTGATTGTAGCAAACACTGCCCCACGTCCCATTGTAGAAAACCTCCAGCCGCCCAGCACAGTCACTGTCGCTCACCAGCCTCAGATCTGTGAATTCTAGAAGGAAAGGCACAAAAAGGGAATTTAAATCATCTGATTCTGAAATGAACTGGGGTGTTGTCATAACTATAAAGGGAAGGGTAACAGCTGTCCTG